GATGTTTCTTCCAACTATGCTTCTGGGCGACCCACCGAGGTCCTTTGAACCATGATAACTTCCCATCTCCATATGAGCAAGAGTGAAGACACAGAAGGTCAGGTATTGTATTTGACAGAATCAGCCCTGCAGAAATGAGACCCAGGTAACAGCAGCCTCGCGAGCCTTGGACAAGGCCACAACCCCCACCTCCCATGCCTCAGGAGCCGGAAGAAAGGTATGAAAATGCCCTCCGTGCTGCACTGCCTAGAAATAGGCGCCAAAGAAGAGAAGAGGAGGCTAGGAACTGTCCGAGAACCTCTCACCAACCACCAAGGTATGAGGTCGAAGAAAACGATTCAGATGAGCAGCAGAGGTCTTGTGACTTGGACGATGATGATGAGAACCAGCCATTCTCAAGGGAACTAAGGAGCGCCCAGGTCCCAAACCACTATGTTATTCCTAAGATACCAAAGTATGACGGAAGAGACGACCCTAAGAAACACCTGAACACTTACAAAACTCACATGAGCCTAAGGGGAGCCACCCCAGCTATGAAATGCAGAGCTTTCCACTTAACACTTAGCGGAGCAGCTGAAATTTGGTATAGTAGATTACCACCTGGGAGTATAAGAAGTTGGCCCGAATTCAAGACCACCTTCTTGAAAAGGTTCGCTGTGAGCAAAGAGAGAGGCGCTCCCATCCAACGCTTCCAAGATATGAGACAGGCACATGGGAAATCCCTGAAGAGCTTCCTATCACGCTTCACTGATGAGATGACGTACTGTGTGCAAGTCACCGACTGTGAAGCATTATCTGCACTAAGATGAGACCGAACATGAACACCCTGCTTTGGAGGGACGTGCAAAATCAAGACCCCACCACCTATGACGCCCTGTTCGAGATGATGAGGAAGCGGATCATCAATGAAGAATTGATTGAGTATAGGAACATGGCAAGTAGAGGCCTCTCACCTCCGCAAAGACAGCGTGCTAGAGGGCCGACATCCCACTTGATGGATTACCAAATGAACTAAGCCGAAAATGAAAGTTCTAGACAAGCACTTGCCGCCACCATTTTGAACGCAATCTCGATCTTGGCATATGAGGATATCAACCCAGTCACCGATACCCAGCAAATGGGAACTCCGCAAGGATCCCGCAAGAGGAGAGGCTGAGGTTGGGGTTTGGGACCTAGAAATAGGTCAAATCCGAACCCCCTGGATACTGCATATACCACCGGTCTTATAGCCACGACACAGCAAATTGTCGAGACTATGCTCACCGTACCCTACAGAAACTCCCCAGCGATAGAAATGAATCGCCTCAAACGAACAGGTCCCCACTAGGTATGACAATCGACTTGGGCGTGAAGAGGTCGCTCCCCGTCAAAGGGATGTTTCCCCGCGATGAAGGGAGCACGATGCAGAGAGGCCCAGGGAAGCGCACAGACACTGAAGAAGTCTACAAACTAAAGATGAGGTCCCTATCCATGAGGTGGATACCATTTTTGGAGGCCGATATGTAGGCGGTGAAACACGAAATGCTAAAAGGAATTATGCCCGTGAGGCCAAGCGCCTCCCGCTTACCAGCTATATTGTTGGCCACAGCTCCCGGAGGGATCAAGTTCCACCTATTGGCTTCACCCAGGAGGACGCTGAAGGGGTTCACTATCCCCACTGCGATGCACTTGTAATGAGAGTGGTCATAGCCCGAAATGGGCTCAAGCGAATGCTAGTTGACAACGGTAGCTCTGTCAACATCCTATTCGAGTCTACCTTTGACAAGATGATACTAGACCATGAGTTAGCACCCACCACTACCCCCTTGTACGGATTCACCAAAGATAACATCACTTCGAGAGGAAAGATCACCCTTGCAGTGGAGATGGGGGAGTCTCCCCAAACCGCAATGAACTTTATGGAGTTTCTCGTTGTTGACAGTCGATCGACCTACCACAGAGTAATGGGTAGGCCAGCTCTAAAGGAATTGAGAGCCGTCACCTCCGTCTACTACCTATACATGAAATTCCCGACGAAAAACAGGGTGGCAACGGTGAGAGGCGACCAAAGAGGCTCGAGAGAGTGCTATCTAAGCTCCATTAGAAAGATAGAGCCCCAGGACGTCTACATGATTATCGTCGACATAGTCATGGCTGATGTCCTAGGTAATGCTGCCTCCGAACCGGAAGATGTGGAAATGATTGACGCACCACCCATGCTGAAAATATTGGTTATCGATGAGATAGACCCCCACATAATTGAACACGAACCTAAAGCATCCCCAGTTGAGGAACTTGAAAGCTTCCCGGTGGACTCCCGAGACCCATCCAAATTGTTGAAAGTGGGAAAGGGCTTGTCCAACCGTTTGAAAGAAAAGATCAAGGATTTACTAAGTTGGAACCTATATGTCTTTGCTTGGAGGCATGAGGACATGGTAGGTATAGACCCCAAGGTTAGTTACCACCACTTGAAAATTGATTCTAAGGTTGCCCCGTACAGACAAAAGAGAAGAGCCCTTAACCCTGAGAGGTATGAGGCCCTGAAGGAAGAAATTCAGAAACTCATCCAAAATAGCTTCATCAGGGAGGCCACCTATCCGATGTGGATCTCCAACCCAGTTTTAGTGAAGAAACACAACGGAAAGTGGAGGGTATGCATTGATTTCACTAACCTCAAAAAAGCTTGCCTGAAGGACAGCTTTCCACTCCCAAGGATTGACCAACTGGTAGATTTCACGACTGGGCACGAGTTGTTGAGCTTCATGGACGCATACTCCGACTACAATCAAATTCCCATGTATCCTGCAATGAGGAACTCACTTCTTTTATCACAGACAAAGGCCTTTACTGCTATAAGATGATGCCCTTTGGATTGAAAAATGCCCGGGCCACGTACCAAAGGCTCGTCAATAAAATGTTTGTGGACCTCATCGACAAGACAATGGAGGTCTACATAGATGACATACTTGTGAAAAGTATGGAAGCTGGAGACCACGTGACGCACCTCAACAACACATTCCAAATCTTGAGAAGGTATAGGATGATGCTCAACCCCTTTAAGTGCGCTTTTGGGGTTGTCTCTGGAAAATTTTTAGGATACATGGTCAATCAACGTGGAATTGAAGCCAACCCAGAGAAGATTGAGGGCCTATACAAGATGATGTCTCCCCAAAAGTCAAAAGAGGTACAAAGCTTGACTGGGCGAGAGGCAGCACTTAGTCGCTTCGTCTCCAAAGTTACAGATAAATGCCTCCCATTTTTCAAAGTGTTGAAAGTTGAGAAGAAGTTCCAATGGACCGAGGAATGTGAAGAGGCCTTTCAGCGCCTAAAAAGGCATCTAAGGTAGGTATCTCTCTTCTCCAAATCGAAGCCTGGCGAAATTCTTCAGCTGTATTTGGCCGTCTCCAATGAGGCCATCAGTGCGGTCCTAATTCGAGAAGAAGGAATGACCCAACTCCTCGTATATTATACAAGTAAGCACTATTATCGCTGGAAATCCGTTATCCCGATATGGAGATGCTCGCTTTGACCTTGATCACGGCTTCCAGGAAATTGAGGCTCTATTTCCAAGCCCACACCATATATGTGCTAACAAACTTTCCCCTGAGGCAGGTACTTCAAAAGCCTGATGCCTCAAGAAGATTATTAAAATGGGCAGTGAAACTAAGTGAATTTAACCTTGTGTTCAAGGCTAGAGCGGCCATCTAGGGCCAAGCCTTGGCTGATTTTATGGCAGAATTTGCCAATTTACCCGAGGTGGATGAAATCATGGAAAATGTCGAGCCCCTTACGTGGAAGTTATTCGTGGATGGATCGGCTGGGGACACCGGTTTGGGTGCCGGAGTTATCCTCATCAGCCCAGAAGGTCACAAGCTGAACTCAGCTGTGAGGTTCGGATTCAAGGCCACCAATAATGTGGCAGAGTATAAGGCACTTCTTGCGGGCCTCAAGTTAGCCAGAGAAATGCAAGTGAAGAAGATACTTATCAGTAGTAACTCCCAGCTGGTCGTTAGTTAGGTAAACAGCAACTTCTCGACCAAAGTTAAAATCATGGCCTCCTACTTGAAAATGGTGATAAACCTCGTCCCATCATTTGAAAAGTTTGAGTTGGTCCAGATCCCCTGTATAGAAAATGCACATGCGGACGCACTCAACAAACTTGCAAGTATCAAGGACTCCGAACTACTCACAATAGTTCCAATAGAGCACCTCCTCATACCATCAACCGAGATCCCCAATGTGATGTGGGTTGTCGAGACTCCTACCTGGATGCAGCCCATCGTGGCCTACCTAAAAGACCAGGTACTTCCTGTTGATAAGTAGGAAGCTTACAAGCTAAGGAGGAGGTCAGCTCATTTCCTTTTCATCGATGATGTACTCTACAAGGGGAGCTTCTCTTCTCCACTCTTTCACATTGGCTTCTTCCCTTAGCTTGGCCATTTCGTCCGCATACCATTTTATTTGGCCCTCCAAGAATTTGTTTACATCTTGGGCCTCGACCAGCTGCAGATTGGCCTTCTCCAAAGCCTCAGCAGTCACATTTTGGTGGTCATTGGAGACCTCCACTTTCTTGGTAAAGGAAGCCACCTCGCACTGGGACTCATAAACCTCTTTCTTCAAGGCCTCGATCTGGGCCAAGGCAGACTCTAGCTTGGCCGCATCTTCTATTTTTTGGGCCCTCACTTTCTCTGCCTCGAACCTGGCCTTCTTCAGCTCCTCTGCGAGGAAGGACACCTTATTCTCCAAGGATTGGGTCCTCATCTGAAAATTAGTAAGGGCCTTCCTGCACTCCAGTGAGAGGCCAAATTTCCTCATACTTTGGCTTACAAGAGCCCTTGTCAGGTCCACTACGTCACAGGAAGAGGTGTGCAGCTACCACCGGTCCATCCAAAATTTATAGAAGCTCACCTATAGCACTTCAAATCTCGGTTGGCAGAGCCTCTACTAACGCCGGGGCCAGGACCTCCTCCCTTCCAGCGAGGAAATTCGGCGACTTCCCTTTGACTCTTGTGGGCCTCTCTTTGGCAGCTTCATTATCTACTTTCTCAGCAGCCCTCGTCGCCGCAACATCTTCAACCTCGGCACGCCGCACCTTTTCAACCTTCACAGCTTTGGAAGCAGCCTCCAGGAGCTTTGGCTGAGGGGTTTCTTTCCCTTCG